TATTTTTTTAATGAAGATTTGGACCTTGTGTGATTAATTTATATCTAATGACATCAGGTTCTTTTCTTGTAGAGAGCTTTAGAAGTGTCTCAGATACCCTGAGGCACTCCTCTGTTAGCAGCTGAGAAGAATTTTRCAGGGAAGAGCTTGGTTTTGAGGGAAGAGAGAGGATAAGAAAGGAAGAACACACCTCTGGAGCTGCTTYATTTCTGTGGGGGAACCTTGACTTGATGGAGATGCTAAARTTTTTCATTTTGGTAAATTTTCTTTGAGTCTTCTGTCCATGTAGAGAGACCTGTTCTGTACTTTGGTGGCTTTAGGACTGTACCCTGCTGCAGCATCCCTTATTCTTTGGCAGTGTGGCTTTTCCAGCTCCAAGATCTCCTGTAGCTGTTGTAAAAGCAGAAATCCAAAACCCTAGGCACAGGCTTATGTCTTTCTTGTTTCCCACCAATCTCTCTGGACCTGCCTATTGCCAAAGACATATTGCAGAGGGAGATAATTAATCTTTGAGAAACTTCTTTCTCAGTTGGCCCTGAAATTCTTATCAGTGGAGCAAATGCTGTGGCTGTTATCCCATTCCTTCAGATACCACCTTCTATCCCAGAACCCCTGGGACATGGATCATTGTTACTTGGGATCAAACTCCCTTGAATGAGCCATTCCTTTGAATGCAGCAGATGTTCCTGGGAGCTCCAGAGGTCTAGCTTTATTGACTCCAAATATTCTGCCAAAACTTAATGACTTGCCAAAATGCAAACACAGAATTTTCTGCTGGTTTCTCATGGCTGACAGTTGTGCATGGAAGAGGGTGCCTGRATTTTTTTTCCACCTAGTTCTAATGTGTTCAGATGACACTTCCTATAACAAATACTAGCAGGTAAGTAAGGAATCTTACTTTTTCTAGTTAAAACCTCTCACTTAKGTTGTCACAGAAGTACAGACACTTCCCAGTAGTCAGAGGGATAGCCAGACAGTGACATACACAATGTGAACATTACAGAAATTGCAGTATTTCCATTACYGGTGTGATACAAGATACACAGACAAGACTCTTCCTGAAGGTTTAAATTTCCTACCAGGAAAATAACTATAATAYAGAATAACATAAAACTGCCTTCATTTGTGGTACTGCAGCTTCTGAGTGCCAAGACTAAAGCTTTTTTATCTGTCACCCTCATTCTCTGCAAATAGCACAATCCAGTTAATATTTTCCACTCAGAGCCCACATGCAGCAGCTCGGACAGTTTCAGATAAATGGTGCCAGACAGTGACAAGCTGGGTGGCAGTATTATCTAGAAAGCTGGTA